AAGAGGACATGGAACCAGGGACATCATTGCTGATGTCAGATGGATCCCGGCTGGAAGCAGAGAATACCAGAAAGATGTTTACCTGTGTTTTATTGACTATGCAAAGGCATTCGACTGTGTGGATCATAACAAATTATGGATAACTGCGAAGAATGGAATTCCAGACAGCTAACTGTGCTCGTGAAGAACCTGTACATAGATCAACAGGCAGTCATTCCAACAGAACAAGGAAATACTGTGTGGTTTAAAGTCAGGAAAGGTGTGTGTCAGGGTTGTATCCTTTCATTATACTTACTCAATCTGTATGCTGAGCAAATAATGCAAGAAGTTGGACTAAATGAAGAACAGGGCATCAGAATTGGAAAAAGACTCATTAACAACTTGCGTTATGCAGATGACACAATCTTGCTTGTTGAAAGTGAAAGAGGACTTGAAGCACTTACTGATGAAGATCAAAGACTACGGCCTTCAGTACAGATTACACCTCAACATAAAGATGACAAAAATCCTCACAATAGTAAGCAACATCATGATAAATGGAAGTAAGAGCAGTAAGCAACATCATGATAAACGGAAGAGACTGAAGTTGTCAAGCATTTCATTTTACTTTGATCCACAATCAACACCCATGGAAGCAGCAGTCAAGAAATCAAAAGATGTGTTGCACTGGGCAAATCTGGTAAGTGTTAAAAAGCAAAGATGTCACTTTAAGGACTAAAGTGTGCCTGACCCAAGCATGGTGTTTTTATTTGCCTCATATGCACGCGAAAGCTGGGCAATGAATAAGGAAGACCGAAGGATTGACGCCTTTGAAATATGTTGGTGAACAATATTCAATATACCAGAGACTGCCAAAAGAATGAACAAATCTGTCTTTGAAGTACAGCCAGAAGGCTCCTTAGAAGCGAGGATGGCCAAGACCCTCAACGGGATGGATTGACACAGTAGCTGCAACAATGGGCTCAAGCGTAACAACAATCGTGAGGATGGCACAGGACAGGGCAGTGCTTCATTGTTGTACATGGGGTTACTATGAGTCAGAACTGATTCGACGGCACCTAAGAACAAAAATGTTCAAATTTTCTTATGAACAATAAATATTAACCTCCCTATAACAAATATTATTGTTTCAAGATACATGCCTTACGCTGCTAAGTTCTTAAGTTCTTATTTGTACAATGTCACAAAATAAACCATAATTTTGGAGGAAAAAAATAGTTTTGGCTCATAAAAAAACCAAACCCATTGCCCTGGAGTCGATTCCAACTCATAGTGATGCTTTAGGACAGAGTAGAACTGCCCCCACAGCGTTTCCAAGGAGTGGCTGGTGGATTCGAACCACTGACCTTTTGGTCAGCAGCCAAACTCTTAACCACGGCACCACCAGGGCTTCCTTTCTGGCTCATAGTCTCATGTTAATAAGGCTGTTTTCCCCCATTTGAAAATATATCTAGGCAGCACTTAGTTGGCTAGTTTAAAAATGACATACCATAAAAGCAAACCCATTTTTAAGTGTCTTAAGGATGTTTTTGATGTCTTTCTTCACACAAAGATAAAATGTGCAACTTATTATTCTCTTGTATTACTCTAGTACTTTTCATATTAAAAGAAAACATGTATTGGGTACAAACAAACACAGAATTACAAAGTTTATTTAGTCTAGCCCCCTACCTGCCCAGAGGAAGTCTGATTTATTTAATAGATTATATTTGATTCTTAAGAAAAATAAAATAATATATAATTTCCCAGTATTTATTTCTATTATTTTCCAATCTTAGAAAATTTTCAGCATAACATAAATATTTTTGGGAAATTTTACTTACTCATTTTATTCCCTCAGTGGAGAACAAGGCAGAAACGAAGCCTTCAAAGTAGTCTCCCATCACCACTCACTCTGCTAGGCCTAGTTCATTCTCTACGACGAGGCACAGTGATTAAATCAAATCTGACCACCAGTCCCACTCATTAAAACCTTAAATGGTTCCCCATCCATCTTTTAGATAATGACGTGTAGAAACCAAGAACTCAACAGCTGGCCCTTCCTACCTCTTCAGACTTACCTCCCACTATTTTGGCTCATGGAGACTCCTCTGTCTTAAACTATCCCATCTTCCTCTCCCATCCCCCACTACTAACTCCCACACATTCTTAAATGTCAGTTCTTCCCAAACTGTTCTACAGAGTCAATGTAAAGCCCAATCAAAATCCCAGAAGTCAAAAAGACTCAAAATGGTCAATGAGAGCGAAGAACAAAGTTGGAGGACTAATACAACCCAAATAACTTCAAGACTTACTATAAAGCTACCGCAGTCAAGACACTGTGGTATTTGTAAAAGAAGAGACATACAGATCAATAGAAAAGAATAAAGAACCCAGAAACAGACCTACACAAATACAGTCAGTTGATCTTTGACAAAGGAGCAAAGGCAATTCAAGAGAGAAAAGAGCCTTTTCAACAACTGGTGCTGGAACAACCAGATATCTAAATGCCTAAAAAAAAAAAATTTTAGACAATGTGACTATACCTCTCACAAAAATCAATTCAAAATGGATCATAGACCTAAATGTAAAATGCAAAACTACAGAACTCCTAGAAGATAGCATTAAAGAAAAATCTAACTGACATTGGGTTTGGGGATAATTTTTTAAAATAAAACATCAAAAGTATGATGAAAGAAAAAATTGGTAAAATTGATTTTATTAAAATTAAAAACTTGTACCCTGTGAAAGATATTTAAGAGAATGAGAAGACAAGTCAAAGACTAGGAGGAAATATTTGCAGAACATACAACTAATAAGACTTGCATCCACTCCTTTGCAATGAGACCAGAAGAACTGGATGGTGCCCTGCTATCATTACTGAACACTCTGACCAAAGATTGTACAGAAGAGGCCTGATCAAAAAAGGTAAAAACATGGAACGGAATTTCAAATTCTCACAGAATCCACTTTCTGGAATCACTGAGGCTAGATGAAACCCCAAAACTATTGCCCTGAGATAATCTTTAAACCTTAAACCAAAAATATCCCCTGAAGTCTTCTTAAAACCAAACAATAATTAGTAAAGAACGTCTGCCTTGAGCATTGTGCTCTACTGAAGATCTATCTATATGGGACCAAATTGACAACAACTACTTGAAAGGTTAGATAGCAAGTTTAAGGGGCAGTGAGTTTATGTCAATGTGGGAGGAACAATTCAGAAGAGGATGAGCAGATTACACAACTTGAAGAATGTAATCAATGTCACTGAACTGTACATGTAGAAATTGTTGCAGTGGTGTTTAAGTTTTGCTGTATATATTTTCATCAACAATTAAAAACTGGGGGAAAAAAAAGACTTGCATCCAAAATGTATGAAAAAACTTAAAACTCAACAATAAAAAACAACCCAACTAAAAACTGGGCAAAACGTTGGAACAGACACTTCTCCAAAAAAGACATGCAGATGGTAAATAAGCATACAAAAGGTGATTGATCATGTCACTAGAGAAATGCAAACTAAAACAAGATCCCACTACACAACTTTTAGAACGGGCAACAAATGTTGGCAAGGATGTGGAGAAATTGAAACCCTTATCCACTGCCAGTGGGAGTGCAAAACTGTGCAACTGCCGTGGAAAAGTCTCATGGTTCCTCAAAAAGTAAAACACAGAATTAACCATATGACTCAGCAAATCTATTCCTAGGTATATACTCAAAAAAATTGAAAGCAGGGACTCAGATACTTGTACACCAATGAACACTGCAGCATTATTCACAGTAGCCAAAAGGTGAAACTAACCAAAGTGTCCATCAAGAGATGAATGGATAAACAAAATGTTGTATATACATGCAATGGAGCATTACTCAGTCATAAAGATAAATGAAGTCTGAAACATGTCACAACATGGATGAACCTTGAAAACTTACGCTGAGTGAAGTCAATCACAAAAGGACAAATACTGTATGATCTTATTCTTATAAAATAGCTAGAATAGGCAAACGTATAGAAACCAAACTTTATTAGTGGTTACCAGGGGCGAAAAGGTGAAAAGGGGAGCCATTGTTTAGAAGTACTGACTTTCTATTTACAGTGATGGATACCTGGCAATGGACACTGGTGATGGCAGCACAATATGATTAATGTAATCGATATCACTAAATTGTACATGTGAAAAATGTTAAATTGGCAAATTTTTATATAAATATATACGTGTATACACACACATAATAAAAAAATAATAATAAGATTAGTTCTCACTTAAAAAATAAGAAACCACTGGAAGTTTAGAACAAATTTGGAAAAAACTTAACTGTTTCTGAATAAATTCTAAAAAGAAACCATCTCTTTCAGATTAATCAGGTGAAGAGGCATCTGGAGGAAGGAGATACGGGGAAAACTTAAGTATCTCCAACTTCAACAAAGATTGACATTTACAATGCAGGAATTAAAAAAATAACCACCTAGGTTCTCTTTTAATTTATAAAACAAGAGGACACAAACTGGAAATCTTATGATCCATCCTTCTGCAGTGCTCAACGTCTGTACTAAACTATCTGCACTGGGTCCAAGTATCTAGAGTATGCTCTCACATCAAACTTCAAGTTTTAAAATCTGTTATTATGATTCCTTAAGAACATATCCTCAAAAATCCATACACAAAAATCGTTATGCTTTTCTAAATGGAAAAAGTTCCAAAACACGTAACCTTTGGGGGATAATGCTCTGGGACCAAAACATTGAAATAAAAAAATCAAATATTGTGAAACTCCTTCAAAACAGCATTACTTAGTCAAATCTAATTAGTTAGGGAACTACCACAGGAAAGCTTTCAAGAAGAAGCTGTTTAGAGGCAAATTTGATGTGTGTTACTTGTATCATAAAACTAATTGAGGTCTTGATAAAAACAGTGCTGTAACAAAAAAAGATTGAGCATATTTTTAAACAAAACTGAATTTAAATAAACTAAAATGACAACTGAGTATTTAAGATTATAGCATCAATGACCCTTTACCTTGAGAATGTTTGGACAAACTATAGCTCCCTTTATAAGGTTCATATTAAAAGTTATACAGCTCAAAAAAAAAAAAAATTACATGGCATTATCACAGATTTTGCCTTAAGCCAGGTCAGCTCAACCCTACTGGTGTTTTATCACTATAAATCTCCAAAACATCTTATTGAGCAACAAGTAATCACCTATTTAATACTCATTCAACTAATATTTGAGACCCTAATTTGTGCTATACATCACACTAGGGACTGCAACACATAACTAAGGCAGAAACATTTTATAGTGTATAGAAAGTGTATTATCACTTCTCTCACGCTGTGAAAAGCAGTTTGGCAGAGTAGAAAGAATACTGCCCTAGAAAAAAGATCTGGGCTTTAAATTCTGCTCTAACCTGCTTACAAGTTCTTTTTAATTTTCAGATTAATAGAAGCATGTATTATACCATGCAAACTTGATTCAATTCAGGAAATTATAGACTATGCAAATATGTAAAACAAAAAATACCACATTTTTAAGGCTACAGAGGCTCATATTCACTAGAAAAGACAAATAAAATACTCTAAAGTTAAAAAAATACAAAACTCTTTGACGATCTTTGTTTTTAAAGCCATAGCATTGGAATTGCAAAAACTCCTACGTCAGGTCGCAAGATTCTTTAAGAATTAACAAACAAAAGTTAAGTCAGCAGGAAATTTTCTAATAAAAATTTTATCCCTTTATGTATTAATTGTTTAGAATTAAAAAAATTTTAAGGTAAAACACCCAAATAAACCACCTCTCTTAAAAAACAAAACAAAAAAAGCAAACCTTCCAACGACATATGATTTAACTCCCAGGCTTTACTACATAATAGATAGATCTTACATTCGTATTACAGGAATCTACCTAAACTAAGAATTTCTTAGTTGCAGAGGTATTAAAAATTAAAAAAGACAGAAGTGTGACTAAACAGAAAGCCTCCTTTGGCTATTTTAATTACTTCAAAAACCTAACCCTTTCGCTAATCATATGTTACACTAAGGAAAAAATTCAAAATGCAAACAATAAAGCATGCTTTATATACTTGCAGCAAATGTATCTTCCTTTTTAAGAATATATGCATATTTTAAAACATTTTATTGAGATGTAAAAGGGAAAAAGTTTTACACTCACAAAGGTTTACTGACATGATTATCAATGCTTTCAATGAGAGTACAACAAATCTTAACTTAAAATATGCATTGAGAGTTAAATACTGCCCATCTTAATTTCCTTTCATCTGAAATTCAAAAGTAATAATGTGGGTCCACTTTATGGAAGATTTATATATGAAAGGTAAGTTTATTAGAAAAATAAACAACTTCAAATTTTACAATATTCTCCACTTCAAGAGTCTCTTAGATAAAAACGTCATATAAACATGATCTGATTTACAAAGTCTCACTTAGTCCTATTTAATAAAACAAAATACAAAACATGAATGGTGAAATGCTGTACTATTAGTAATTATTAAGAAATTCAATGTAAAATTTAGCAGAAAATTTAAAAAACCATTCGTTGCAGGTACTTAGTATGGCAATGCATACTGTAAATTGTATTAAAGAACTTGTACTAACTTTTAATGTACTGGCTTATTTTCAATATTAACACTATCATATAAAAATGCAAGTTGTGTGGTCTAAATTTGTTTTGCCAAAAATTTTAGCAACTAGATCAGGAGTCGGCAAACTTTTTCCAGGGCCAGATAGTAAGTATTTTAGACTTGCAGACCATAAGGCTCACTACTCAACTCTGCCACTACAAACAGAAATCAGTCACGGACAACATGTATATGAATAGGTATGCTTAAGGGCTGAATTTACCCAATGCAGGACAATGAATTTTAAGTCAGAGATTATTTCAGGTGCCATGTTATACATGTCGTCTTTTGCGGGGTAGGAGGGACAGTATAGATGGGTAGTCATCAATAAATGAACATTATCAATTCAAAAAGTTTCACATGTATTTCCCAATCATAACTGAATGTAATAGTAAGTTACAAAAGTAGCTTATTTTAATTCCACATTCTCTCTGGTTTGTTAATAACAGTAAGGGATCAACGGCAGATAAGCAGCAAAAGGATCTTAAGTGAATACTAGAAGCCAATAAATAACCATGAAATTTAGTTTTAAAATATAAGTATTTCTATAAAGGATAAAGTAATTTATTCATGTGCCCCTAAAGAAAGTATTAGATGTGTACCTTCAGATGTCATTTTAAAATTTAATTGAATTGTTACAATTTTGAAGCTAAATGTGATTTGCTTTGTTTTATTAGAAAAAATACTCAGGCAAGATCTACAATCATCGGTCAATTAAGAATGACTTACAAGAACATGAAGTAATAAAATAAAAATACAAGTACAAACTATATATCTGAAACACTTCTATTTGGCAATTTCATAACAAATCAAAATAAAAAAGAACAAAGGAGATTGCAGGTTACTTTGTAGATACAGAATAAAGCAATTGATGAAGTGCTTAAGCAAAAGACAAAACAAAACAAAAAAACACACTGCTTTTTTCTTTTTAAAAAATAAAATCACATTTGCTACAGATCATATGGATAATACCCTTATCAAACAACCATTCCAGAATGTCTTATAGAGTAGCAGTGCTTTTATTTGCACTTATTTAATTTTATATGACTCATTGCATGTATATAGCTCTTTAATCCACTGTAATGAATAAATTCTCCCATAATTTTTATTTTTTAAATTTTTTAAAGCAAATGAGAAATGATTTATCAATCATGGAACTTTTCCCATTTTGGAACCAAAAGCTTAATTCTATATTTTTGTCTATTATTTCTTTAAAAAATTTAGTGTAAAAACTGCTGGTTTTTATATTTACTGTAGTAAAGTGAAAACTCCTCAATCAGGAGTATTTTCTGCAGTTTGACTGCATATAACCACATACTTTACAATATGTCCTTCCAACAGTAAGGAAATAATTGATTTCACGGTCACTGTCAGAAATGAGTGCCATAATTCTATTATGGGTACAGGTCCTCCCTCAAAGACTTTCTGGAAGGATGTTCAATGTGTTTTGTTCTTATAGATATTAACAGTAGTACATAGTCCCTTAAGTCTGCAAAAGACATTTATTGTTAAAAAAAGGTGCTTTATTAACAATCCTCTGGCAGCACTAGTGAATTACAATATCCTTCAATATTATTTCTACCATAATATATACATTTTTCATGCCTCTAGAAAAACATCTACAGTACATTTCATAATATAAAAATATATTACAAATCTGCTGAAGTATTTACAAGCAATGTTCTATTATCTCTATGCAACATTTGTTTGATACAATACTAACAAGTTACACATATTTCCATTTCCGTAAGTTAAAAAAAATCCATATGGCTTCTTGCTTACCAAGCAAGAAAGTGATTTTATTTTCCTTTTCAAAACCAACTTTGGTGCATAAAAGATTCAGTTTGAAGACACTTTAAAAAAAATACAATTTTTCTTACATTAAGAAGAAACAACTCAAAAACCAAATGCTTTCCTCAGAAAAAAAATTAAGAGTCTTATATAGGTTAAAATGAACGTGTGAGGATTATTCAAATTATCTGAAATAGAGGTTTTTCAAAAACCGTTAACAGATTAGTTTTATAGGTAAATATTAACACACTGTACTCCATGAGAAAACCCTAGTCCTGAAAAGGGAGCCACCAGACATACTGCAACACTCTTAACAGTAATTTTCAGCCCTAATTCGATAGACGAATTTTTAGTTGATTGCAAATGTCGTTCACTGTTTGCTTAAATACAAACTGAACATTTTTCTTAGAGTTCTGCAAAAGAACACAAATGGCAACCAATCACATCTATTTATCATAATTGAAAGGTAAATTATCCCTTGATAATTTTCATTGTCTAAATATTTCCTAATACGACTTCAAATCAATAGACACTGTCAAGAGAAATATCCTTACAGTGCTTTTGGCGTTTTTAAGGGCACATGTAATTTTTCTTTCAAATATAAACTACTATAATCACTAAAGGGGGAAAAAAAAGCAGCTTAAAGCAGCAAGCATGCAAAGCCTTCAAGAAGCTGTTCGCTAAGTTGCCAGAAGAGTGTTTGCTCAGTCTCCCACAGTACCATTCCATGAAAATGTGGATATACAGTAATATATTAATATATTCCACAGAAGAGTCTACTTCATTCACAGAATGTTTACACTAAGCATAAATATTACCCTAAGTACTGGATTTAAAAAAAAAAAAGGAAGGGGTTTGACTCTAATGTGCAACTTTTCCTAAACCCATTGTCAGTGACTAAGACTGCAGGTGTCCCCGCTTGTTTGCTTTTTATGTATTTATTTATTTTTTACCTCTTCAACCTCTTCTGCGGCATTGTTCTAGAAAAAGAAAACAGAAGTTTCTTTCATTATTCAACTGAATCAAAAAACACATTGAACATTGCAAAAGGGACATTAAAAATTCCTATACACTGTAGGCAATGTAGCTATCATTAAAATTTATTTCCAAAATATTCTCACATAATGGATTCAATTTAGCTTTATAGTTTTCGTTTTAATTCTTTCTAGGTAGCCTGCTAATGTGTTTCTAAGAAAAATTCTTATGTCTGTCTGACACATGCATTTTAACCAACTAGTACTTTAAATGGTTCCTACAGGTGGCACAAACGGTTTGTGCTCAACTGTTAACCTAAAGGTTGGCAGTTCTAATCCACCTAGCAGTACCACAGAAGAAAAGGTCTAGCAATTTGCTTCCACTGAGATAACAGCCAACAAAACTCTATGGAGCAGTTCTACTCTGTAATACATGGGATCACCAAGAGTCAGAACTGATTCAATGGCAACTAACAAGTGTTTTAAAACTGATGCTTAAATACCAGTAAGTATATTTTTTAGTCTCGTTTTTAAATTAAATGTATTTCTGGAAGGTTTGACGTGAGTATAGGTAGGAAATTATTCGTCCTAAAAGTTGGAATAATTTTTTTTTCTCTTTTACTTAATTCTACAAGTTATCCCAGTAAAAATCCAGAAATCATCAAGTAAAGATGCTACACCAGTGTATATGTACGAGTTTCTACAACTCTGCGCCAATTTAGGGCAGATTCAGTTTCAACTTCTAGAATAGCAGAAGCATAAAAACTTTGAGTCAAATTAAATTTTTAAAAATTTGGGGAAGGGGGTGCAGTTAAGGAAAATTAAATCTACTGAAGCACCTGATCCTTAAGATATCCTCAATTCCCCAAGAATAAAACCAGTTAAGAATTGTAAAATCACACACTTTAAGAGTATGTTACAGAATTCCTATGCACTTTTGGATACCAGTTCTGAGTCTGAATGATATTTTTAAGTCACTCTCATTAGAATATCTAAGTTTCTTCCTACACAGCATAGAAACAGTAATAATAAAATTGTGCTGTGCAAAAGGAAGACTTTTAGAGACATGAAAGTAGAATGTGGGGGCAGAAACACAGAGGTTAGTCTCAATCTGGGGATCCATACCCCTTTATCAACCATGGTCTAAGAGATGTTTTCAACTGGTTCTAGTGGCAGAGTGGCTCTCCCAAAACGATATTACTCTTTTAGAATGCTAATTTCGATAATAGTGATTCCCTCCTCCAAAGGGTAAACAGAAATAAACGTTAAAAATTAGTTATCAGTAACAAAGAATATTCAGAAAAAAATTTTAACAAACAGAAAGGTTACTTGTAATTTTTCCATATTTTCAGCAGTGTATTTTCCTCAATCTTCTTCTTTAAGGTGTCATCGAACAAAGAACAAGTTTTATTGTACTAAATACTTTTCACCAAAGGATACTAAAAGAATGTTTTTGGAATAGGGAAAACTCAAGACTCTCAATATTTCCAGATGGCACTGACCGTTATGTTAGAATTTCATTTTCAGAAGACAGCTCAAATTATAGGAATCCATCATACAGACAAACATTCCAGAAAGCTGAGTCATGGAGTGAACAGAACCTTCAAAGTGTTTAAATGCTACAAAATTTGGCAAAGGTCATAGTCTCTTTATGACTACTAAAAATTATATTTGAGAATTTTCAATTATTTTGTGTCATTTTATTCCTGTTCAACCTACTGCTATGTAAAATACATATTAAATTAGAATTTCCTTTTAAAATGCATAAAACTAAAGTTTATTAACAGTGCTTTTTAAAACCAAATTATAAGCATTCACCCTTTTTTAAATCACCCTAATACGTGTCATTTGGGTAGGGGACTATAGTGTTCTGCCACATTCTATCTGTGTAACCTTGGGCAAGATATTTAACCGCTGGCCTCAGTTTTCCAATCTGCAAAACAAAGACGGGGCTAGTAACACCTATTTCACAGGGCTGCTGTGAGGATGAAGTATATGTAAAGCACCTAGCAAAGTGACTCAGCACAAAGTCAGAAATGTTGGTCTCTTCACCTTGCCCCCCCTCTACCTTCATAAGCACAGCACACTAAAACAAAGGTTAGATCAGAAAATCCTTAGAAATGTGAACATGCTGAACTACTTCTTAAGAATAAATAATAATATTTAAAATGCTCTTTTAGAAGTTTGGGGAGAATATAAATTTTTACAAAGAAGTACACAGTCCCTTATGGTATTTAGGACATGTGACACATTCCCAGTTCTACACATATCTAACATTATAAAGAGAATTATACATATGTATTTTTAAAAAGGCACTTATTTTCAAAATACTACGTATGTTACAACCTAAACTACTTGAGATAAATCTAGAATTAAACTGGCTAGAAACCTTACAAAAATACTGTCTTTTGGGATTCTAGCATTTAAACTCTTTGTGCTTTAATTTCCATATACCAAAGCATCAAAACGGAAGATATCCTTGGTATTGAATTCAGTACTTCAGAATAAGTCCCAATCTTATATCCAAACTTTAGGGAGAAATAAAATAAAACATCAAGTCAAGATTACATTACCTGTATATGTTTGGATCCAAAAGCAAGGCAGTATCTTTGGGTAACTTTGATAAATGAACTACTTTAGTTTTTAATTGATGTCGTTCACTTTCATTCACCCATACATCAGGCAGGCTATGAATTAAAAAACAAGTCATTTCTTCATCTCCAAAAAATGGCAAATGCATAATTGTAACTAAAAGCAAGTGGGTCGACTAAAAAATACAGTTTGTGAGCAATGTACTAAAACGTTGATTCATGAAGAATGGAAAGAGGGTATCAAAAGTGCTTATTTTAAAATAAAGAATAAGACATTCAGCATTAATTTCCCATGCTATTAAAACTATTTAACATATAAAATTAATCTATTGTGATGTTGATTTTTAAAATTCTAACATCAATAAAATAACACTACTTTTACAGATTTACCCGTCATATGCCTTCACATTACCCAGCCTTTTCTGCTAATCTGACAGAGCCACCTAGTTTAATGAGCTTCTCAGAAGCCAAGGAAGCTAAACAATCTACCTCAACAGTTGGATGTGGAGTCCCAACTAGGAAATGGTGGGGTTAAATTTCAGGCATGAATTTAGAAATGCATTAGGAATTTCTGGTTGGCAAAATCATATCAAAATCAGAAAAACACATCAGAACATACCGGCTGGCTTTTAGTTCACTGATAGAAATATATTACTTGAGGCTGACTTGATGAAAACCTGACAGCAGGTTTCTTTATTAAGAAATAAGTAAAAAACCCAGATTAAACTCCACTTTGGAAAAAAAAAAAAACACATGTGACTGAAATTCCGAATTCAAAGAGATTTAATCCCATAGGAAAATTCAGATAAAAGCATTCTGATACCTGAGCTAATCAATTTCCAAAATATTAGATATGCAAACATTTTAACTCAATATTTTTAAAAGGAACTATATTTATAAGCTTAATATAAAAACAGTTCTTACAAATCAGAATGAAACAGATGAACACTCATTAGAGGAAAAAGGGGAGAGTAGGGGGAGAAAAAGGACATAATCAATCAATTCACCAAAGAAACAGTTCAAAAACTGCCTTACTTGTAACCAAAGAAATGAAAAATTTGAGAGGATGATAATAGCTAGTTTTGATAATAAGCCAGGGCAATAAACTCTCTAATATAACAGAGTAGGTGGGAATATATATCGGAGCAAACACATATATTCCTATCAAAAACCTTAACATTTTGTATAGTTCATATCAACAGAGAGATTTTCCCTTTATAGTACGGGAAAACGGTTACATTTAATGTTCAACAAAAAGGAGTTAAATAAATTTTATGCAGCCATTTTACGATATTTAGAGTAGCATCAAAGCAGTCCAGGCTGGTGTGTGTGTGCCAACACATATAAGGAGTGTCTCATATTAACGGAAGTTCGATAACCACAGGATGAAAAGAAGTTACAGATTTTTTTACTTTAATATGCTAATGTACACTATGAACTTTCTGAATCTATTTAAGAACTCTTATCTCACCTCAAAACCCACTAACATCTCCTTAGAACAGAGCTTGGAAAACAATTTAATAGAAAAATATTTAATAAAATGACAAGAAAAAATGTTAACCACATATTGCTAATTTTTTTAAAAAGTAAGTATATATAATCAGATCCCATTCAAATTTCTATTCTTCATTGTTTAGGTAAGCAAATCTTTGCCCAAATTTTTAAATTTTTTTAAATAAAAGGAAAATTACATGTGCAATATCTGAATTGAGGATCATCTGTGCCAGAAGTGCTCTAAAAGGGTACTAAAGTTCAAAGAAAAATGTAATGGCTGCTGGACAACTGGTATTTTCTATAAAATACCTTTCATCATGTATTTAAAAATCTTGCAAATTTTTAATAAATGATTTAAACAAAGGAATGACTAAGGCTGCTTGCATACTAATAGGTCATTAAAAATCTTAAAAATGATCACATTCTAAAAATGATTAAAAATTGCTAGCGAGCAGCCATCTCAGATGCATCAGTTGGTCCCAACCCACCTAGAGTAAACGAGAATGAAGAACAACAGACACAAGGGAAGTATGAGCCCAAAAGACAAAAAGGGCCACATAAACCAGAGACTCCATCAGCCTGAGACCGGAAGAACTAGATGCTGCCCGGCTACCAACGACTGCCCTCACAGGAAACACAACAGAGTCCCGAACAGAGCAGGAGAAAAGTAGGGTGCAGAACTCAAATTCTAGTAAAAACACCAGACATAATGGTTTGACTGAGACTGGAGAGACCCCAGTAGACATGGCCCCGGACTCTGTTAGCCCAAAACTAAAACCATTCCTGAGGCCCACTCTTCAGACAAGGATTAGACTGGACTATGGGACATAAAATGATACTCGTGAAGAGTGTGCTTCTTAGCTCAAGTAGATACACGAGACTAAATGGGCAGCTCCTGTCCAGAGGTGAGATGAGAAGGCAGAGAGGGTCAGGAACTGGTTGAATGGACATGGGAAATCTGGGGTGGAAAGGAGAGGTGTGCTGTCACAGTACAGGGAGAGCAACTAGGGTCACATAACAATGTGTGTATAAATTTTTGTATGAGAAACTAGAATTGTAAACTTTCACTTAAAGCACAATAAAATAAAATTTTAAAAAATGCTTCAAGAAGCTTTATTAACAACAACAAAAAAGTTAATGTTTTGGAACTTAAGCCTGGAGCCAGGCACTTGAAGAGCTTTCACAGGTTATCTCTTTACTCTTGACAGTCTCTAAATGTTGTAGTTTAGTATCAGGATCACTTTTCGAGTTTAGTAACTTAAGTAACTTTTGTGCGTAAAATTTTAATAAAAGTAAGAGATCAGTTTATTAACTACATAGTCTTCAAATACTTACATGTCTTCAGGCATCCAATGAAGCAAAAGTTTTATCTTTCCAGAATCTTCTTTTCTCTTAGCTATTACCTAGTAATATGAAAAGGAAAAAAAGAAATCATAAAAACGATTCTTAAAACATTTTAATGTATCATTAAAAAAGCACTTTTAACCGTAATCTAGAACTTTAAGTATTCACACCCTGACCAGAAATTCACCACATCCTATCCTCCCTTGCTTTGCATCACTCAGACTTCTGTCCCTTCCACAAGGTTGAAAGCTCCTTGAAGGAGTAAAGGTTATATCTTTTGTACATCTGCATCATACCACCTAGAGCAGAGTTTAACATAAAATTAACTGATTCAACTTTCGGGAATCTATTTTAATGAAATAAACCTAAATTCAGGAAAACCTCAAAAGTTCAAAGATGCTCCCTTAGAGCACTTCTGGCTGTCCCTCCAAAAAGGAAAGCAAACATCCAATCAGTAAGTCTACTAACTAGTCTCTGAAATACGGATTGTTATCTCCATCCAAGCTGCCATAACCCAGGCTGAGGCCTCCAATCTGGACCTCTCCTAGTCCCCAAAGCCATTCTCCACTCAGTACCCAAATTATCTAAAGCACAAATTCAATATCACTTCGCTGACTAAAACACCTCAAAGTTTCGCCTGAGCACTTAGGATAAGATTATTCTTAGTACGATGAACAAAACCCTTTATGATCTGGCCTCTCCAGCCTCATTTAATTTTCTGCCTTGAACTCTTCCAGCCACATGTCGAGGATGGTTTTCTAACTATGAGACATAAAAAAGCAGCTTTCTCATCTGACCTCCAACTCACCAGATTCAAGCAACACTCTCCAGGTTTTCTGTGCGCTAAGGGTATTAACGTTTTAGAGAAGAAATGGCTACCAAATATCCACTGTACACAGCAGTGAAGCAAAACACATCCTACACTCCTATAACTGAAGATTTGTATCTATGAAACCTAAGTTGAAGACTTGACAAAGGGGGGCCATTAAAAAGGATATGCTACAGATTACAGTAAAAGACTGAGGAGAAAAGTCATAACGTATCTCAAAGATTCATGCAATTGGTAGCTCTGATGGCTTTAAAAATGTCTCCTAGCTATATTTTAAATAATAAAAGCTGCTTAAGGGTGATGACTGAATGACACAATGAAATTTAATGTCACTGAACTGTACATGCAAAGAGTGGTGAAATGGCGAATGTTTTTTTATCTACATATTTACTGAACTAGAAGAATTTAAAAACAAAACTGCAAGCCATCAGACTATTATATACATTATGTTGTTGTGTAATGACTAGTCAATTCTGACTCTTAGTGACCCCAGGTGACACAGTAGAACTGTCCCATAGGGTTTTCTAGGCTGTAATCTTTATGGGATGAGACAGCCAAGTCTTTATCCCATGTAGCCACTGGGTGGGTTTGAACTGCTAACCGTTCAGTTAGCAGCCGAGCACTTAACCGCTGCGCCACCAGGGCTCCATATAAACTCATTGCCATTGAGTCACTTCTGACTTACAGTGACCCTATAGGACAGAGTACAACTGTCCCATAGGGTTTCCAAGGCTGTAAATCTTTATAGAAGCAGACTGCCACATCTTTCTCCCGCAGAGTGGCTGGTGGGTTTGAACCACCGACTTTTCGGTTAGCAGACAAGTACTTAAATTACTGTGCCACCAGCGTGTCCCTGGGCTCCTCATAAACGTGGTTTGTTCAATAAATGTAACTGGGAATCCCAATTAGTATCTCTGTATTCCAAAGTAAAGACTCTGATCCTATATAAAATACACGAGACATTCATTTACATATTCATCTAAAATGCTGAAGGTAAATATACTTCATTTTTTGATTCCTCACTTTGATTTGGGCAATTAAGCCAAACAACTACAGGTCTCTGTTAAGTCAAATAATAATTACACCATTTTCACACCCATCTCCCCATCATCTTCCTGCTTGGAATATGCAGTGTCTGCCTACACTCATGCAGTCATACATACGCTTTTCAATGATATTTTATTGTGTTTTTGGTGAAAGTTTACACAAGCAAATTAGGTTCCCATTTAACAATTACTATACATATTGTTCAGTGACTTTGGTTACATTTTTCACAGTGTGGCAACATTCTCATTAATTCTATTCTGGTTGTTCCATTTCCTTTAATCTAGCTTCTTTGCCTCTCCCCTCATGTTTTCATCTTTGCTTCTCCCAGGTGATATTGTTTATTTTATAAGCCAATCTGTTATTCAGCTGAAAGGTGACCTCAGGGTACAGTTTCAGTTCAAAGTTTAAAGGGTTATCTTAGGGCAACAGTCTTGGGGGTTTCTCTAGTCTCTACCGGTCCAGTAAGTCTGGCCTTTTAAGAATTTGAGTTTTGTTCTATCATTCCATCTGGTACCACCTATTCTGTCCCTGGTCAGAATGGTCAGTAGTGGTAGCCAGGCACCATCTAGTTCTTCTGGTCTCAGTACAGATGAAGATATGGTTCATGAGGGCTGTTAAGTCCTGTAGACTAGTTTCTTCTTTGAGTCTTTGGTTTCCTTCTTTCTTTTTTGCTCCAGATGAGCAGAGACCAATAGTTGTATCTGAGATGACTGCTCGCAAGCTTTTAAGACCCCAGATGCTACTCACCAAAATAGATTGTAGAACACTAACTTTATGAACTATATTATGCCAACTGACCAAGTTGTCCCACAAGACTGTGGTCCTAACTAAGCCTTCAAACCAGTAAATCAATCCTGTGAGGTGTTTAGTTTTATCTAGGAAGTATCCGTAACTGTGCCCCCTATATGCTTTATTATATACATGAAGATATAGTCAGCACACACAAACATGTATATACACATGCCTACAGATACACCTGTACATGCACACGTATATACACACACATTCCTTGCCATTCACATACATGCATACATATCTACCTATGGAATCTCATACATATGTTTTGGTTGTTATTGCTGTTGTTGCAAAATGTTATATAGTATTTACCAAAAACTTCCCTTATGTTTGTGCACGTCTTAGTCATCTAGTGCCGCTATAACACAAATACCACAAATGGATGGCTTTAACAAACAGAAATTTATTCTCTCACAGCCCAGTAGGCTACAAGTCCAAATTCAGGGCATCAGCTCCAGGGGAAGGCTTTCTCTGTTGGTTCTGGAGGAAGGTCCATGTCATCGATCTTCCCTTGGGTCTGGGAGCATCTCAGTGCAGGAACCTCAGGTCCAAAGGATGTGCTCTGCTCCTGGCACTGCTTTCTTGGTGGTATGAGGTCCCCATGTCTCTCTGCTCACTTCTCTATTTTATATCTCAAAAGAGACTGACTTAAGACACTATCTAATATAACTGCCACTAATCCATCTTATTACATCATAGTGATAGAATATCCAACACATAGGGAAATTAATCATATAATACTGGGAATCATGACCTAGCCAAGCTGACAGATACTTCTGGGGGCACAATTCAATCCATGACGTCTTAGTATCATCATCTACCTTGGTCAAGCTGTACACACTTCACCTACATTTGGTACTGCCCTTCCCAGCACCAAAAACAAGTATCACCAGCTAGAGAATGATTTCCCCGCCCTCTCCCTAAACCTAGTAACCACCAATGAATGTTGATTTCTGTATGTATACCTATTCTTGTCTTTTTATAAAAGTGAGATCATACAGTATTTGTACCTTTGTGATTGACTTACTTCACTCAGCATAATATCCTCCAGATTATCCATGTTATATGTCAAGAACTTATCACTATTCTTGACAGCTGTATAGTATTCCATTGTATGTATGTACCACAATTTGCTTATTCATCTGCTGACAGGCACTTTGGCTGTTTCCATCTTTTCTGCTATTGTGAATAATGCTGCAATGAACATGGCTGTGCATATGTCTACTCATTTCACTGCTGCTATTATCTCTAGGGTATATACCTAGGACTGGGATGGCTGGATCATAAGGTATCTCTACTTCTAGCTTTGTGATATCGCGCCATACCTTTTTCCATAGTTGCTGTACCATTTTACAATCCCACCAGCAGTGGATAAGGGTTCCTGTCTCCCCACAACCTCGCCAGCAAATTTGTTTTGTTTTGATCAGTGCCTTTTTTTGTGGGGTGAGATGGTATCTCATTATAGTTTGATTTGCATCTCTCTAATGACCGATGATTGTGAGCATCTTTTCATGTGTTTGTTGGCTGCTTAAATGTCCTCTTTGACAAAGTACCTGTTCATGTCCTTTGCCTATTTTTTAACTGGATTGTTTGTCTTTTTGTGTTGAGTTGTGAAAGTTTTCTATATATTTTAGAAATTGGACTCTCATAAGATATGTTGTTCCCAAAGATTTTTTTCCCAGTCTGTAGGTTCTATGTTTACTCTTTTGATAAAAGTCTTCTGATGAGTATTAAATATTTAATTTTTAGGAGGTCCGAATTATCTGTCTTCCGTTGTTTGTGCATTTGTAGTTGTATATGATAATCTATTTCTGAAAAAAAAAATTAGGCCCCATAGTTTCATTTCTATGTCATCTTCCAGAACTTTACAGTTCTAGCTTTAACATTTAGGTCTCTGATCCATTTTGAGTTGGTTTTTGTGTACAGTGTGAGGTACGAATCCTGTTTCGTTTTTCTCCAAATGGACGTCCAGTTTTGCCAGCACCATTTGTTAAAGAGACTGTTTCTTCCTCACTGAATGGACTTTGATCCCTTGTCAAAAATCAGCTGCCCAAAGATGGATGTATTCACTTCTGGGTTCTCAATTCTATTCCACTGGTCTATGTTATTTGCCATTGAACCAGTACCAGGCAGTTTTAATTACTGTGGCTGTACAGTATGTTTTGAGATTGGGAAGTGTGCGGCCTCCTACTTAGTCTTCTTCCATACTGCTTTGGCTATTCGGGGCCTCTTTTCTTCCCATGGAAACCCTTGTGGCACAGTAGTTAGGTGCTACAGCTGCTAACCAAAAGGTTGGCAGTTCCAATCCACCAGGTGCTCCTTGGAAACTATGCAGCAGCTCTACTCTGTCCTATAGGGTTTGCTATGAGTCAGAATCGACTCAATGGC